GAGCGGCGGTGCGTGGCCGGTTTCGGCCGTGGGTGGGTGCCGAAGGGCACCGCGGGCAGAGGCCGGGCGGTAGCGGCCTGGCAAGCCCGGCGCGTTGGCTGGCGCCTCTTTAGGAAAACAAGGGCCCGCCTGTGGACTTGGCAGTTCCTGTCGGGTTACTAATGCAGCCGGAGAAGCGGTTTGTCATAAAATACTCGGGCGCAGCGATTTTATTTCTGGGCAGACAGACTGACACAAAGACGAACCGTAGGATTCGATTTGGTTATGTAATACCGAAGTTCAAAACCATCTCGCTTCTTTTTGTCGTCACTTAAGATTACTTCTCACATAAGTGTGTAGTGACTTGGATTTTTATTTCCTTATTTATTATTGGTTGGTTTCTTTTGAGGACGTGTTTTTTCTGTTAACCATAAAAGCCTGTGTTGGCCCTGGTTCTGCAAGCATTTAAGCACCTAAAAATCAGTGGATGCATAACAAGTAATGCTAAAATAGTAGCTTCCTTATTCTGTTGCGTTTCTCTTCTGACCTAGTAAGATTGGTATCAAGAGTTAATTATAGTAGGAATTTTTGTGAGGTGGCTCTGTAGAGTATATATACCACCAATGTGTATGATTGACCTTTATGTCTTCAAGCAACTCAAGATGTACGAGCTGCCCCTCCCTGTCTATATGGTTTGTCAACCACTTGCAAAAACTGTACTGTGTGACAGAGAACAGTGGGTCCTGGGCTGACTCTTTTTAAAGAAAGAGGTGAGAGAAGAAGGGTTAAGAGTTGAAAGAGAAAAGGAGAACTGAGAGGTAGCCCTTCAAGAAGCACAGAGACCACAGTAGTTTAACCCATGTACCCAGAAGTTCAGCATAGCTTCTGTAGTGGGCCTAAAACCATCCAGCATCAAGCTGAGGAGTTAGATTAGAATGCTACTGGGGGAGCGTGTGAAATTGTCTATAAGTGTCACTGCCAATGCAGACTAAGCCGTGCTAGCCAGACCGCAAAACACGTATTTATGAACTTAAGTTGCAAACTAAATTTTCAAACCGATTTTGTAACTCAAAGTTAAATACAGAAGGACATGAATTAAGTCAAAGTTTTAGATAGGTTTTACAGTCTGCCTACACATTGTGAATGAGACTAAACTTTTTTTAAAAATCGCTTACGAATGACTTAGTCGCTGCTTAGTACGTTTACCCAGCTTTTAAGTGTTTACTTAATTTGCAAACATAATTAAAACTTTCAATTTCTTCAGGAATCCTTATGAAGAAAAGTATAGATTAATTCGGATTGGAAATCCAGCATTTTCCACAAGGCTGTTGCCTGTCAGAGGAGCAGTTGAATGTTTATTTGAGATGGGATTTCAAGAGGTGAGTATAATTTAGTTTTTTTATGATGTCTTCATCAGTTTACACACTAAAATTTAAAATTAGATTTTTTTTTTTCTCCTTTCCCAGTTGCAAGGCACTAGATTTTAAGCCAATTGCTATTGTCTCCATTTTCTTTCAGTTTTTGTTTGCAAATATCTGCAGTTAACCAACAGAAAATGTAGATGAAGCTAATTCAGAAATCTGGTGGAGCTAAGCTGATCTGTGCTAAGATTGGTTTCCTGCTGTTCAGGTGCAGGAGCAACTAGTTTGCTTAATGGCTAGATATATATCCACGCTGGCACAAAGGGAGTGGTGGGAAACAGTGTGAAAATCCCTTCTCTTAGTAGCAGCTCACTCTTAGGTGGACATCAGATTGCATCATCAGACGGTGGTTTCCCTATTGTAAGTCAGTGTGTTGAAACTGTCATTTGGAAGGGGAAAAGAAAGTCCTGCTCTTCTGCTGCTTGTTTCTACCATCAGTAGGGCTTGTGTGGCCCCATAGTGAGTTAGATAAGGGAAGCTGATCTGATTGAAAATTAGTCCCCCAAAACAAAAAAAGAAATACTTTTCAGCCAATTCACAATGCAGCTGCAGAAGTACTAGTGTTGTCATGACAGCAGTGGAGGGCAACAGACTATTGGAGTAGTTAGTGGGAGGGTGGGACTTTTAACCATTTACAATAGTTATGAAACTGTATCCTAAAGTAGTCTTGGGTGAATCTTGATTCTGTTGCAGTCAAAAAGATGTATTTTGAAGATTGCTTTGTGTCCTGAAACAGTTCCTGTCTTGGTAGAATGTAAACTGGCAAAGCTTGTTAAGCCAGAAGCAGCCTTTTTAATTATAGGGGATCTGAGATGAAAACCTAACTGTTGTTTAATTTGTCTGTTTCACGTCATGCTTCTGTATGGGTACATACATTATGTTATTTAGGTCCAGCTGTCATGAGACCTCTGTCTTCTCTTTGGGTAAAGTTAATTAGTGTAATTGTCCTAATTAAAAAAAAAAACAAAACAGTATGCTGAAAGAAACGGTGACTGCAGAGGGAGAAATGGTCTGTGTATTCTCATGCTGGTGCTCAGGAGATTACTTTTAATGATGTGTGTTAGCCAGGAGGTAGCGAGTGTAGCTAGTGAAGCACTCCAGCAGTAATAACATAGTCATTTTAAACGTGTTATAAAGTGCTATTCCCACTTCTGTCAGATCTTTAAGAGCACGTTGGGTCAGTCGTATAGTCATTGTGTCAATTGAGGCTGGAGCTCAAACTTCTCTTCAACTGCAATAACTAAAATTGTTCCTTCTTTTGTCTCTGCTTGGTAAGCCAAATTTTTCAATTGAAAAATGAGGACTCTTCAGCTGGATTGATACATTCCATTTAGTTTTGTCGTGATTGTAAGTGCTAAATTCAAGCACTGCATTTCCAATGATAGGTGATCTAAGGTACAGTGGATAAACAAATTGTTAAGTTCAATAAATAGAAGTGCTGCAGTGGTAGAAACTGAAACTCTCAAAGTATGAATGCTTCAGGATATTTGTGTTTTTAGTAACCTGTTTCTTCCTGTTAAGTACACTGATACTTGCTTCTGTCTTAGTTACTAATCTTTTGTTACACTACTGGTAATCATGTTACGATCAAAAATGGGAACCCAGAAATCCAGCTGGGTACACATCTCAGTGAGATTTTCTATCTGAAAACTTACAAAACCTAAAAGATATCGGTATAGAAGACAATTCCCAGCAGATGCCATTCTAGATGCTTCTTCCCCAACATTGTCTATCGTCCTGTGTTGCTTAGCATTTCACTGCTGTACTGTGAGAACTGAGCATTTGTTGTTCATTTCTGTTGTTGCTGCTTTCTCTGCCAAACCATAATTACTTTGTCCATGTGTGGCTCTTCAGAATAAGTCACTAACAAAAGCATGTTGTTATGAGCCTTTTTTCTCTAGACTGACTGTAGGTTCTTGATCTAATAGCTTCTTTTGTGAGGGACCTACAAGCTTCTGCTCTAAGAGACCTAATCTGAAGGTTGAATCCTGCCAACCCTTAGCTTGCAAACTTCCAGTAAATGATACAGTTGTTATCTGTAGATACAAACCGCTGACTAGCTTAGGCCTGCATTAACTGCTGAATTAATTTGTCTAAATTTCAGGGAGAAACTCACCTGGTTTTCCCTAAGGAAGCTTCGATTGAGCAGCTACGTAAAATCAGAGACTTAATTGCTGGAGAGAGGAGTAGCAGACTGAATGAGTCAAATCAGATCCACAAATCAGGATCCACTGAAACTGTGGCCGGCACTCAGACAGTTACACGTCAGCCATCAAGACCTGCTGACTCTGTTCTTGCCCCTGCCCGTCAGCAACCAGAAACATCACTTGTGCAATCTCTTGAAATGGTAATTATAACCTGAAAACTTTGTAGGCACGCTAACCTTGAATATAAAGATTGAAGAAAAGTTAACTGTTGGGACAGGTTGCGCAGAGAGGCTTTGTAGTCTCCCAATGTGGGTGTTTTCAAGACCTGACTGGATAAAGCCCAGAGCAACTTGATCTGACCTCATAGCGAACCCTGCTTTGAGCAGGAAATTGGACTGGAGGAGTTTCTTTATTTTTCCAATGGCTTCTGAAGTTTTTGAGTGTTTTCTTCAGTCTCCATGTAACTTCAACATGAAATATGCCATAAATAGAATGTTAGGAAGAGATTTTATTGAAGATGTCCATAAAAGTTTTATTGATCAGGGTCTCATGAAAAACAAGCTGATTTGTATTGGAAGGGAACAGCAAGATGGGGGAACAAAGGGAGCGGTGGGAAGCTAAAACAAGGGCTGTATACTGTGTTTGGTATTTCAGAGCCACCAAAAGAACAGGAGCACAACTGTAATGTTTATAATTGTTGGCATCTCAGTCCATGCATTATGATCTCTGTGTTGCCTGTGAGGAGGGCTTTCTTTTTTCGCATATGACTGTTGTGAGAGACGGGAATTTAGTCAGGCAAGGACAAATCTATAGTTATTTAGGCTGTGTTTCCCTTTCCCAAGAGGTTGAGATGAAGTTCCTTATCAAGATAGAGAGGCAGAGTCCTTTCATCTGACGTTTGCTGGCCTGATGGGACGAAGACTATTAACACCTCATACAACTTTGAAAAATGAAGTTATCCTTCAAACCTTCTATCAAAAGTTTAACTTTCTAAAGAATTTTTCCCACTAAAACCAGTGTCACTTTGGTCTTAAAGTTGGTCTAAGATAAATCCTTCCAAAAGCTCACTTCTCATACATCCTTAAACAGAGTTTGTATCTTTTAAATATCATCAGTATATTGTTGGATACTGAACTATGACATACTACTTCTTCCCAATACCTACCCAAGATCAGTGGAAGAGCACAGATCAAAGTGATGGCTTTTGGGGAGAGAGAGCACTCAGTAATCCATCATTACCCATAATGTCCCTTGGGAAAGGAACTGTTGTAGGGACTTGAATATTGAGCCGTTTAATCTAATTATGTTAGCATGCTAGTAGTTGCCTATAAAATATAATGACTGGGTTTATTTTAATTTGTTGGAGGTTTTAGGGTGGCTTTTTTGGGTTTGCTTCTTGGTTTTTACTGTTTCAACCACTTCTGCAATGGTGGTTGGAAGTGATTATGAAAACTCTAGAGTGACTTGCTGCACTACTGGTTAGTACTGGTAGCTTTAAAACTTTAAAAGTTGCATTGATCTTGCAGTGATAAAAATGTTGCAGATTTCAAGTTGACACAATGTATTGTGAGGTTAATACTTCTAGTTTGTAGTCATTCTGCTCTCACTTACCCTAACCATCAGAGTTGTGGATCCGTTTCTCTGCACCTATTGTATTTCCATGCTTCTTGAGATTCAACATTGGTGGTGGGAACAAACTTACTACAATTTAGAGACGTTGCTAATGCGATGTTGGCACTCTATGTGAACGCTGTATTTCAGCTGATCTCTTCAGGGAATTGTACTCATAGCTCTCTGAGCCATTGAATTTGCTCTGGATAGTCTGGGTTGATAGGAAGGAAGTCCATAAAATACCTTCTGGCTATGACTTGGCCATTTTGTTTGCACAGCAGTAGGTGTTTCATTTTTCAGTGAGTATACTGCAGAGGTATAGTTGTGTTATTGTTGTATGTGCTGCTGTCAGATGTCGGAGAGATTTAGAGTGGTTTTTGTAGTGCAAGCATTTTTTTCTTGCCTATGCGTTACACCTGTGATTCATGGGAGTCCTGGTAAGCACAGGGCAAATTTTACTTGAGACAGAACAGGAATATTCCTAAATGGCACAGTTCTAGAGACCTAACCCATTGTTATTTTGCCTCATCTCTGTCTCTTCTGTGTTTCGTGTCATAAGGGGTTCTTGAAACTCCGAGAAAGGAAAGCTCTGGCTGGTCATTATTCTGATGGATGGATTCTTCCTAAAGACATAGTGATTATAGGAGGAAAGAGATATCCAAACTTAGATTTGCAGTGAGGTTCACCACACTTCTAGCTGTTTGCGTGAAACTTCATTGGCGTACAGTGGCTTCCATGAAACCAGTTAAGCATTACTGTAACCTTGACGGTGTTTGCCAGTGGGAAAATCTGAGTTGTCAAAGAATCTGGGAGACTTTCTGCTGTGCTGAGTAATATCTCTGAACACTCTTTCAGGAAGCTGACAGAACATGAAGATCTATAAGCCATTGGCAGTCCCTAACTTCCCTTATTTCTGTTCTTTCAACTTGCATTAAAGTGAATCTGAACACAATTGGGTTTATGATGTTAAACCAGTTACCTACAGCTGATGAGCTCCAGGAAGAGCGAAACCAGTTCTGTTCTCTTTCAGCAGTTATGAAAAGTAAGGACTGGTCCTGTAGTACTGTCGAGCATCAAAATAATCATTCCTAATTTAAATGCTCCTTTGAAATAAATTGTCTTCTGAAGAGTTCTCACACCTGTGTATTATGTCGCATTTGCTGCCAGCATCTCAGGAAAGTGTGGGATTTTTGATGAAAAAAGATGGTAGTTAGTAAGGCTAAAGACTGAAGCATGATCCAACAGTAGAAAAAAAGTAATTTAGCAGTGCCACAGGCTTCCCTCCAGGATATGCCAGACTCTTAATTTTAAAATCCCATTTCACTTTCTGTGTTGTCCCCCTTTAAATGGGAGTAAATAGTTTGCTCAGCTACTAACTCCACTATTACTATCTTTAGCTATTTGTTTTAGTAGATACAGGTGTATCTTGTTGGGTGCAACATGTAGTTGCCACTAAGCAACACTTAGGATAACTGACTGAAAAGACTACTTCTTGTATTTGATTTCTAGTGAAATACACTGTTCAGTGTATGGTCACAGTATACAGTTACAGGGCTATCTATTCAAATCTGTATCAGAGTTGATCTGTAAGAGAAAGAAGTGAAAATAAACAAGCAGCATTCATCAATAGTAGAGTTCCGCAAACTGATGCAGCGGTGTCCAGGAATGAATTACACGTTCTTTTGTGGATTTCAGGTAAAAGATTTCCAAAAGAAATGGGGGTGGGGTGTGTGTGTGTGTAAGTCAAAAACTTTGCCATCAGCGGTGTCTTTAAAAACAGTTTTCTCCCTGAATCAGTACACTTTTCACTCAGGACATCATTCAGAATGCTCAAAGATGACAAGGCTAGCTTTACAGTTTGGGTGGTGGTGTCTGCAGTTCTTATTGGTATCTTTACAAATAAACATTTAACTTGTAAAGAAATATATAATGTAACTATGCTTATAGAGTTATGACTGACTTAAACTAAAATAAGAAAGCTTGGTTCTTCTGGCTTAATGTGGAAGTTCATAAATCATCTTGTGACTGAAAATCCTTTTGCAGGCTGCAAATATCTTGAAAACACTTCAAACAAAATTTGAGCATCTTGTATTGATGTATGAGAACCCTTCTATTCAGCAGAAAGCACTAGCTTCAATTCCCCTCCAGCAATTGAAAGGGAAGGCTCAGAAAAAGCTAGCACAAGCTACAAGACTGGACAAAGGTAATGCTACCAAGTTATACTATATATGAAACTAGAAATATTCTTTCAAACATCTGGATGATGCATATATCTACTGTGCTTTAGGTGTGTGGATATGGTCATACGTCTGCAGGTTCCAAATGCTGTCTCTAAATTAGAATTACCTTCTTCCTAATTTTCAAATTTTCTACTCTGCTCTCTTGTTATTTTTTTTATTTAATTCTTGTCATCCATCCTTTACTGCTTTCACGTAAAAATTTTGAACTCTTAATTTCTGAATTAGCGGTAAACAATGCTGGGGAAACAAATGGGGTGAGCATGTGCTCTCACATCCCTTGCATCTAGAGTGAAATAGCTACAACAAGAGGAGGGGAGCTTTTTGTTTGAGTACTCATTGTTTTGAAATTGTCAGAGTGCAATTTTCCCGTACATACTACAATGCCAAATTCAGAATAGAATTTCAAAATACTGCTTTTCTTTTTGAAGTGATGTTATTGGTGAGATTTGGCATTAGACCCTTCTAAGACATGACCTGATACAAAGACTCACCTTTCTTGCTGATGCCTAAACAAATAGGGTTGTTCACATGCCATCCTCTTGGAGCTAGAAGTGAAATACAGGCATAAATATCTGTGGCATTAGTGGCTAAAATTTATATTTTCTTTGTAAATGCAATTTTTTTTTGAATGTACAAAGTCTTTGCCAGTTAAAAATGACACATGTCTATTTTCAAGTGACAGTTTTGGACTTATTTCAGCAATATTGTGAAATTTCACTTGTATGAGATAAGTATTAAAAAAAAAATATGATTCCAAGACCATATTTAAATGAAAAAATCATTTTCATTGTGAATCTTTGAGAGAAGACTCTGTTTGAAGCAATTCTGCTAACTTGATGGGAGCGTTGTCGATTTGCAAACTAAAAATAAGCTCTTCTCATCTTTGTTATAAATGACTTTGTGATGTCTCATACAGCCGTACGGTAATATTTAATCATGCCTTTGGCATTACGGAACTTTTTGACAATGTATTTTCTTAGTAGTTTTACTCTTTTTTATAAAGCTGTACTGGGAAGTAGGAAACCACATAAACAAGTTCAAAGCATTCTCATTCAGCAGCATACGACAATGCAATGGGGAAAAGAGACTTAGCAGTGATAAATGAAAACTGTTTCAATTCCTTTAAAAAGGAAAATAAAGACAAGCCTACCTTTTAGACTCTGCTCCAGTTCTACTGTGCACATTATTAAAAAGGGGAAGGAAGGAGGAGGGTGGTGTTTCCAGGTGCTTCTTCCCACGATGTCCTGCTAATCTATTCAAAATGGCTTCCAGACCGTAATTTAGATAGAAATAACAGGGAAGGGATGGAACACCGCTCTTTTGGATTGTCACAGTTTGAAAACATTTTTAAAGAGCTGTATAGAAACATTCCTTTGGGAATGGACTGTGTGTGACATGAATGGGTAATTGGCCCTTTCAGCTTCTTCGGTTTATCTTTGTTACTGTATTAAGACTGCCAGCTGTAGGAATAACTGCTTAGTACTAGGGGACACTTGTTTTTAGGTCTTCCTTTACAGTGCGTAATAGGCATTTTTAGTTCATAAAGACTGTGCTAGAAAGAATACGATTATTTGATGAGAAGTACAGACTTTTTTTTACTGTTTCCCTTTACAACTTTCCATGAGAAGGATGGATTGTGCAGTCAAAAATAGCTGCATGTCACAGCCAACTGTTTTTTGCTCAAATAAGTCACATTTGTCATTCTTTCCATGCAATGTTTCCATAAAGGATTTATTTTATAAACCAAGAGAAAAATATTCATATGATAGCAGTCATATTTTCATAAATGGGTTCTGGTTTGTATGTTGTTATCCAGGAAGAGAGAATATGGCCTGTGCTCAAAATCTTCTCATTCAGTTTTGGCAGAAAGCTTGAATATACAAGCTTATATATCCTGTACGCAATAACACCATGTCTCAGTATTTCGGCACAAGTGTTTTTCACATGTAATAAGTAAAAATGGAAATTTTAGTACAATTAAAAGTCAGGTTTTCTTGCTTTGGTTAACAGACGATCTTTCCTTGTGTACTTCATGTTCTTGGCAATGTGTATTTAATAGAGTTAGGGCCCCCACAGAGTCTTTTGTACCAAAAACTAGGAAGATGTGAATTGAGCTTAAATAAGTAAAACACATATCTTACCTAGTCTCTCTTCGCCATCCTGAAGAAGGAGCTAGTGCACAAATTTGGTGCAACTTCCTTTAAACAACATTTTTATAAATTATTTTTGTATCTTCATATTCATTAGTCAGACCTGTCTGCACTGTGACTACAAGCAAGCTGTAGTACATAAAACAGCTAGTTATTAATATCTATGATTGCAGTGTGGCCTAGATGATGGAATTAATAGGAGGACTTACTTGAATGTTTATGAATCTGAGAAGGAAGAGAGAGTATCTCTCAGGGCACTGGAGTAGAATATGCATTTAAAGATTCTAAGTTGTTAGAAGGGGTGGATCTCTCTTGGAAGACTGGATTTTTAAATTTGTTAGTTAGGTAAAGTGGTGTTATTTCCTGGTGGCAGAATAGTGACAGTGTTTGAGTAGATCCTAACAGCTGTTGTGAACACAGGAAAATCAGCCAGAAGAGTCTAGTGGTCTAGTGTGGTGACATCTGCTAGAGTAGAAAAATAAAGACGTCTTCTGTCTAGCTTGGATAAGAGGACAAAGGTGTTTATTTGCTGAATTTATAAACAAACTCACCTTTTTTTCACATGGTGTATGTACACATTCTATAATAATTAAACTGTGTTTGTAGAAAGTCTGTTCATGTTACACCTTGTTGTCTAGACTGCTGCCAGTGTCTGGTTCTTTGGGAATATGAAATCAAAGCAATTGTTATTCCTCGTTTAATAGCTAAGAATAGGAAAAGAATATTTAGGAGTAGAAAAAGAATTAACACTCTGTCTTCCGAAGCCCTGGAAGAATATGAGGGGCATGAGGAACTTCACTGGGCTTCACTGTATATCTAATTTGTTCTTCTAAGCAATTGCTTATTCTCACTCTGCTGTAGTGTTTAGGAGTGCAATTTTTTTTGTTGTTCTTTAAATATACAATTTGACGTTATTCAGTCTTGAGAATTTAGATTTTCTTGTGTGCTTAAGTAACATATGAAGCTGTTTGTTAAGCTGAGACTTCTAAAAATGTAATAAAGGCCCAGAGATAGTGATTTATGTAGATACTGGAAAGTTCAACTAAATTATTTTTCCATTTGACCCGTGTGTTGTGAAAACTTTACAGGTGCACATGTGAATGAAGAGGACTTCTTGTTGTTGGAGCTCTTGGACTGGTTTAAGAATGACTTTTTTCGTTGGGTAAATAATCTTCCTTGCAGCAGATGTGGTGGGCAGACAGAGCCTAAAAGTGACTACCTGTTGCCTACGGCTGATGATCTAAGGTGGAATGTCAGTCGAGTGGAAAATCATTACTGTAACCAGTGTCAGTTCTGTAATAGATTCCCAAGGTGAGCATATAAAGATTTGCTTTGTCTTTTTTTTCTTGTCTTTCTAGAAACAGCTTTGCATTTGTGTGTTTTGTGAACAAGTGATAAGTTGGTGGTTGAAAGATTAGAGAAGCCATTCTAAGCAACGTGATAGGAACCAACAACTGTTCTATAAGATTAAAAAAATTTAAAACAAAAATATTGCTTTCTTTTACATGGCCTTGTTCTTAATACTTGTCTGATTTTCTTCTTACTATTTTTTTACTGTTAATTTGATAAAGTACAGCTTCTAAATAAAATACGTTAATATTGGCATAATATGTAGGTAGGGTTTTGTTATTTCAAGGGAAACTTTCACTTCTATGGAAAATCACACATCTGCTGAGTCTATAGGAAAAGAGCAAATATCCAATTTTCTTCTTTTTTTGCTAACTGTTAAAAGGAGTGGCATACAAAAATCATATTTAAGGTGAAGTCTAAGTCAATTTTGAAAGCTGGAAAAAAACATTAATTTCAGTGCTGCTATAAGCATGTGGTGGAGTCATGTGAGTCAAAGTAAAAGTAGCATTCTGATGGCACTTGTTTTGTGCAGCACAGCAATCATTTCCATTATCTTCTGTGGACTGAATGGCACTGCAATCTGTCTAAATCATCACAAGGATAGTCATGATGTAAAGATTTTGAAAGGTGAAATGTATTTTCAATTATTCTGGGTTTACTTTGTTTTTCTCCCATAGGTATAATAACCCTGAAAAACTTCTGGAAACCAGATGTGGACGCTGTGGCGAATGGGCGAACTGTTTCACACTGTGTTGCAGAGCTGTAGGGTTTGAAGCTAGATATGTCTGGGACTATACAGGTATCAGTATTCTAGAATATCATAATGTTAATACAAACCTATGCAAAATGAGGTTATATATTTTATGGTTCACAGATTATATTAGCCATCATGCAGCATATAAAGATATGCAGTTTAGCTAACAAACAGAATATAAATTCAATTTCCTGTCTTGCCTGATGAGGTGAAATAGAGTTCTGCAGGTAAGGTTTGACTTCAGAATGATACCATCTTTAGTTGAATCTAAGGGGCTGTGATCCTAAGGCAGAAAGAGAAAGCACTGGTAACTTTTTTGAATGTAGGTGAGCAGGAAACATGTTCTTTCACCTGTTCCTTCATTTAATAAATCAGAAAAAGTTACAATATTCTACAGGGTTAGAAGAAAGAGTCTATCCTTATAACTCACTGTTTATTATTGGCCTTTGTTATATAGATCATGTGTGGACTGAAGTATATTCTTCATCTCAGAAAAGATGGCTTCACTGTGATCCCTGTGAAAATGTCTGTGATAAACCTCTTCTCTATGAAACTGGGTGGGGAAAGAAGCTTTCCTACATAATTGCGTTTTCCAAGGATGAGGTAGGAGTAATGATGTTGTTAAAAAAACAAATTTGCCTTGAGGCAAGTGTGTGGTGTAGTCCATCTTAGTCTGATTTCCAGAATTATAGAAAAACATACTTCAGTTAGTAACCTCCTTAAATGAAGGAAGATACATGGCAATTTTTTATTGCTTTATTTTCTTCTTCAACTTGTGCTTGAGGTTGTTGATGTCACCTGGAGATACAGCTGTAAGCATGAAGAAGTACTCTCTAGAAGGACAGCACTCAGTGAAGCTACGCTACGTGAAACAATTAATGCGCTAAATAGAACGGTATGTAGCTTTTCTTAAATGGATATCTTTAAGTGAATCGTAAGTGTCTTTTCAGAATGCAAAGTCCTTGAACAAAGGAAAGCATTTGGTAACCTGATAGGAATGTCCATGCACTATGGAATATAAAATGCTGCTACCTATACGGACCTCATTTTACACTGAATACAGAACAATCAGTCACAGTGCTGAACTTATGTGAAATAACATGAAGAACGGTATATAAAAGGATTATCGTATTATCTCTTACATAGTCAAATGTTTATGTATATACAGTTTGTGTGTATATATACAATATATACTGTATGTATATGTTTTCTTGATGTCTTTGGAGTAGACTTATGCATCAACAGATGTTGGGGGTAAACTACAGTTGCTTTGTAACTATGTGGACTCCTTGAGGGCAACTGAGCATTTTCCATATCAATAATGCTGTAACTTGAAAACAATAGTATTTATAGTTATAAGAAATGTTGGCCTGATTTTTTTTAATTTTTTCCATGACTTTTTACAAGCTCTAGGGAGTGGGAGGAATGATTCACAGGCTGTTTCTGAGACTTTCAAGAAGTGTTGATACCATCAGTAGAGCTTTGGCTCAGAGCCACATATAGTGCTCATGCCTAACACCCCGGAACACATGGAGCCATTTGCACCTGCATGTCATAGTCACAGAACCCGAGTGCACTCAGCACCTCTCTGCTAAGCTTTTTCCACTCCCTACTTGGGACAGGATGAACTCTTCTTGACTGTGTATACTAGAATACCACAAAACCTTGAACGACCTGTAAGATTCCGTTTTGTGCCCGCTTCCTCCAGGGCTGATTCCTGTGCATAGAAACTTTAGTTCCTGTGATAGTGTATACCCAATGGCTTAATAAAAAGATTATGCCTTTTAGATGCCTGCTGGCTTGAGGGTTATAGCCACACACTAAGAGTGTGATGAATTGTGGCTATAATATGGCTTTAATATAATAAAAATCGTAAGTTGGACTTATGATCTCAAGCCTTGGCTTTGAATGTTTTATCAGTAATGAAACACTAGAGTCACATAGCGGAGCGGAGCACTGAGAAGGCTGACCACAGAGTAGCAAAATAAAAGGAGCTAAAGGATCAGAAATTCAAGTTGAGGAATGCATGTACTTTGTGCAGGGTTGCAGGAATTTAATGGTGTCCTCTCCAAGCATTGAACCCTTGCTGGCTACAAAAGTGATCTGAGGGGCCTTTCTTCTGATCTACTGGCAATAGAAACCAATCACCAGACTCTTCTCCACCGGTTGTCTGTAGGGAGAGATGACCTTGGAAATGAGGCACTATTAACTTGAAAAATTACTGAGAAGATTGATGAAATCAGGAAAGTATAGGCAACTGACTCATGGGCAGACTTGCCTGACCTCCTCGCCTCAATGATATCACCATAGGATCATGCTCTGTTTCACTTACACAAGTCTGGAGAACTCCAGTGAAAAAGTGCATTGCCATCTCCAACAGATGATGCTGCTCATTGATCTGTTGGCCTGTCTCTTATTTTTTTCCACGTACTTTATAGGACTGTGTAGCACATGAGCACTTTTAAAACAGAAATAACAGGCATTCTGGTCATATTTTAAATGAAAAATTCATTAAAAAATGAGTACAGGGAAGAAAGCTATATTTGCGCTTCCAAGACACACTTGTATTTCTCCTATCTTCCTTTCTCTACATGTGGAAAATCCCAGCGGTTTGTGCTCTGTTGTGTAGTTTCGCTATTGCTTTCCAGTATTACTAAAGCTGTCTTGTGATTCTGTTAGAACACAGTCAGTCAGTCTGATAGTAACTTACTCTTCTTTTCTACAAGCTGCATAATACACTCCCCTCCTCCCACGCACGTTTCCTTTTCCCCAGTAGCTGTTCAGAATATGTTTGATAAATTTATTATCAATTTAATAAATTAAATTAAATCCCTGTAACTGCTCTTATTCTTTTTTTTTTGTCTGTTGTAGTTGGAATTGGATTTCAGGGACTTAGAGGCAGTTTGCCATCAGATTGCTAAAAGAACAGCTATTCTTTCTTAAATTTGTCTTAGTCAAAGGGCCTTTCCTAAAATTCATACTAAGCAATGTGGCAATGTAGTGGGAATCAAGGGGCTATTAAAAAGTTGCTGTCTGAGGATCTCCATGTTGTATTCAGCAGCTTCTGCAGTCAGTAGAGGGGTAAGGCAGCTAATCCCTAGAACTATCAAGACATTTTTATAGTAGTTTTCCATCATGCTGCTCAGTCATAAGTCTCCATTTCAGCTAGTATGCTGTTTCCTTCACTGCAACTTGTTCAGCAGATAACGTGTGGGCAGAGGCCTCCACTACCCTTCCGTTTTCCCATCATCTCCTAGAGACTGGTTCCCCGCTAGGAGGGATTATATTATAGTCTTGATATCTTCTGATGCAGAGCTCAAACACTGCATGTTTCAAGCTCAATTCTTCGAAGTTACAACTAAAGAGAAGCACAGTATGCAGTATACATTATCATCTATACTGCAAGATTAGTGAAAATTGAATCTGAGAGATCATTATTGTGCTTTCCTGCATAAAGAACAATGGCTTTGGTCATTATTTCTCTGCATGTCTGTTTTAGTGGCCAAGTGGAGACAACACCACAGTTCAAAGGATGTTGAGTGACTGTCGCTGTTAAATGGAAGACGCAAGGATAATTTAATCTATTCAGTACACCATTTTACTTCTCAGAAATATTCTGTGTGTTTTATTTGGGTCAGGCATTCCTAAACGGGTGTGTGGCCTGTGGATTACCAACCATCTGATGTTATTCTAGAGTACCATATCACACCCTGACTACAAAGTTAGTCTTCACCTGCTTTGTATGGGCACTGCCCTATTTCCGTCCATTGTATGTTACCTACAATTGACAGTGCCCTATTCCAGTCCATTGTATGTTACCTCTATAGAAAGGAGGGAGAGGACCCTGAACTTTCACTGCCTTCATTGGAAATTGGATGGTGGGGCAGGGAAACAAATTATTTTTTATTTGCTTCAGGCCCCATTTTTTTGTAGTGATTGTGAATGATTATAGCTACAGCCAGGTCAGCTCTTAAAAGGAAAGCTAGTAATTTAGGTTGAATTGCAACCATCTCATGGTGATTGATGTGAGATGAACCAGTATTCCTTGTTTAAAGGTTTGCAAAATTTCTACCCTAAAATTATCTGTTGCTTACCCAGCAACGCGTCCACTTAAATCACAGGTTATCCATCTCCCAAAACGCTGTCCTTCAGGAAGCATCAACAGCATAACTCACATGTGATGCAGGACTGATTTTAAAGGTGCAGTTCACAACCCCTCTTCCTTCCTATTCCCTCTGTCTGCCAAGGAAAGGTGAGGTCTAAGCATGTGTGTAGAGGGTAATACCTTAAGAAAAAACAAAAGCTGGAAGTTTGAGCCATCACAGTTGATAATGGAGTTCTTGGAATCCATTTCAGTACGTGAATGCTATTGATGCCAATGTCACTTATAGGAAATGTAGTTACAAGTTTTCCCAGCGCAGGCAGTGTTGATCTCTCCAGTGTCTGGGCATTATGCATGTCTTAGGTGCTGCTAGCATTTATATGCAAGAGTCTACTGGGGGCGTGGGGAGATGACAAGAATTAGCGTACTTGTATTCTTTACAGTTGAGGAACTTACTAATTTCTTGTATCATACATAGAAGAGGCCTGTCTTCTGAAACACCCCTTTTGTGTTGAAGCACTGTTCTTTCACAGGGTTTGGGGTTTTTTTCCAGATATTGTTAAAACAGCTGCAGAGCAAGGGCAACTAATTATCAGTGTGGCATCACTAATTTCAGTGGTAATCACCCCTGACGCTGGGTTTCCCTA